ACCCGCTAGGACGTTTAGAGTAACAACACAATTTTGACTCTTTCCGTAAAATTTTAAATGGAAATTTTGAATTGTTCAATAACTACGGCTATTTAGTTGACAAATATTTAATAAATAACTAATATAGTTGATAATTAGTGGCCAAGTCTATAGTTTATTTAATACCCTTTACCACTTGGCCCATATAATTAAATTATGTTAGTAGGAGTTACCACTTTTAATACCTAATTATTATTTTTTAATAAAGAAAATAAAAGAGAAGCAAATTCAATATCCCCAACTATTACAAACACTAAAAAAGTTCAAGATGCCGAATAAGCTCTCAACTAGCCGCCATGGAAAACCTAATCTTTGCCTAGTCAATCGGAAAATATGGCCACGCCGGCCGCTGGCCAACCTCCTATAATGGAGGTAGGGCCAGCGACAATCATCCCTGAACCAAACAAACGATCCTATGCTAATGTCATAAAGCCACCACAATCACAATGTAAATCACTACTGTTGAAGCAAATTGCCTATCTACATGGGGAACAACATATAATATGGGAGGAGGAAGAAGTAGATCAGATGATCATTAATGAGGAATTACAATATGCAGTGATTGGTAAATTTTCATACGGCTAGCTGGACATACACGATCTAAGGAAGCTAATTCCCAAACAATGTGACTTGAAGGGGGAAGTGAATATAGGATTACTGAGTAATACATATATTTTGATCAGGGCTACTTTGTTGGAAGATTACGTTAGCCTTTTATCGAAGCCGCAATTCTATATTACACATAAAAATTGGTCCTACCCTATGCGAACTCTCAAGTGGGATCCATTATTTAATCCAGAGGAGGAAACATCGATTTCTATAGCGTGGATATCTTTTCCATCTCTACCACCAAACTTTTTTGGAAAGGAAGCAATATTCTCATTAGCTGATGTAGTGGGGAAACCTCTACAGGTGGATATGGCAACTCAAAACAAGACGATACATAGTTGTGCTAGGGTCAAGGTGGAGGTGGATCTGATGGGGGAATTTCCGAAAATAATTAATATAGGAATGAGGAAGAAGACGGGGGAAATTAATGAAAAATGGATCACAATTAAATATGATTATGTTCCGAAGTATTGTAAAACTTGCAAGCTACAAGGACACAATGAAAAAGAATATTTCATTATACATCCAGAATTATATCCCAAGGAGGAAGGTGAAGAATCAAACAGAAGAGAAAATAAGAATACTGAAGGAGAGATGGAGTAGGAGGAAGAGGACACAGAAAGGTCAAGAAAAGGAAAAGGAAAAACAGGAGAATCCAATGCTTTTCAAGATCAAAGGAGGAAAAATGGTTATGAAAAGGGTGGATTTTTTCTGCATGGTAAAGTGGAGCAGGTTTGGAATCCAAAACAACAACAAAATGATCAAGTCATCACCAACAATAAGTTTGAAGCTTTAGGGGACACAAAATATGTACCAAAGGAAGGAGAGCATAAGAATAGGGAAGAATTGCCTACCAAGGAAGACACAACACGTGAGAATAGGTCAGGAGGAGACACCGGTAGCAAACAATGAAAAAACCAAAACTCCTATGATTTCTAAATAAAAAGACAGGCATGAAGATGCTTATAGTGGAGTGAAAGATTCAAATAATAGAGATATTAGAGCACTGAGCTCAGCGCCATCTTCTGTGCAGATTTTAGAAAATGAAGGGGGAATAAATCAAAGGTCTGAGGAGAGGAAGAAAAATGACGATGAAAGGCCACACACGGGACAAGAGAAGGGACACAGTCAGATAGGGGAGTCAGATACACACAACCTAGTACATGAGATATTAAAAGCACCAGTTATAGATAAGTTGACAGAACAAGAAAAGACGAAGAAAAAGGACACAGAAGAGGATGAATGCATGGAAAGGAACATCGAAAGTATAGGTCGAGAAAGGGACTTGTCACCAAGGCAAATTAATCTGTTACAGGGGAAGAACATGAAAGGGGAGAAACTACAAACACAATCACAAATTAATACAAGGAGCAAGAAGGGGTCCACATCCACCATTAACCAATGATTAATAAAGCACTTTTCTGGAGTATTAGATCGGTAAGAACTCAAAAATCTTTTGAGAGACTTATTGACCTACATAGGAGGAATCACTACTCATACATTGCTCTGTTAGAGCTTTTTCAAAATCCAACACTTCTCGAGAAGTACAAAATCAAATTGGGAATGCCCAAAGCAAAGGTGAGCAGCTCAGCGAAAATATGAATCTTCTGGGAGAATGATTGGGAAGAACATAATTATAATGATACTGGTCAACAACTCACGGTCAATTTTAAAAAAGGGGGAACCAACGATATTTTTAGTGTTACAGGAGTATATGCAAGGTTCAGTGCATTAGAAAGATTGGAATTGTGGGAATCACTAGAGGATATAGCAGGCAGCATGCAGAAACCATGGTTGGTTGGGGGAGATTTCAACACAATTAGAAATAACTCAGAAAAATTGGGCGGATTACCAGTAACTCAGATGGAAACCATAGACTTCAACCAATGTATCATCTCATGTGCTCTAAATGAACTTAATTTCAAGGGAAATTCATATACTTGGTGGAATGGAAGAGTAGAGGCATAATGCATTTTTGAGAGACTAGACAGGGTATTTGGGAATGAGGAGTTCATGAGTCTACTACCTAATAGTGAAGTTCAACATTTGATTAGACACGGATCAGATCATGCACCACTACATGTAGTATGCAACACTTCACAGGAACATGTTATAAAACCTTTTAGGTTTCTAAACTTTTGGACAAAGCATGAGAATTTTAAAAAGTTAATTTCTGATGTATGGCAGGAGGGAGAAATTACTGGCAATCCTTTTACAGTGGTGCACAGTAAGATGAAAAGAGTAAAAATGGAGTTAGCTAAATGGAGTAAGAAAACATTTGGGAATGTTTTTCAGCAAATAGCTACTTTAGAAGATGTGATCAAAACAAAGGAGATTCAATTGGAGATGGCACCTACAGAGAGCAGCATGGCATAACTTCACATGGCAGAGGTAGACATTAAAAGATATAAGCATATAGAAGAAGAATATTGGAAACAAAAAGCAGGAATGCAATGGTTTAAGGATGGGGATAGAAATACAAAGTTCTTTCATGCTTATGTCAAGGGAAGAAGAAGAAATTTGCAAATAAATGCAATTCAGACAAAGGAAGGAGACATGATTACAACAACTCAAAATATTGGGGAAGAAGCTGTCTATGTTTACAAGAAACAGTTCATGCAGGATCAAGAGGTCAGTGATTACAGTATGCTAACACATATTCCTTCTATTCTTATAGAGGAGCAAAATGAAATTATGGTGAGAATAGCCACTAATGAAGAAGTCAAAAAAGTGGTATTTTCTCTGAAAGAAGATAGTGCTAGTGGTCCAGCTGATTTCTCAGGTATGTTTTTTTAGAGCTGCTGGGATATTGTAAGGGAGGATGTGACCAATATGGTAAAGGCATTTTTTTGTGGGCAAGAACTGCCCAGGTATATCACACACACCAACCTGGTGCTCATTCCTAAAAAGGAGTTGGTAAGCACTTTTGGAGATCTCAGGCCTATAAGTCTTAGCACCTTTGCAAATAAGATCATTTCAAGAGTTGTACATGAAAGAATAGCTATTGTATTACCTAGTTTGATATCCAAAAATCAGACAGGTTTTGTTAGAGGGAGAAACATTACTGAGAATGTACTGTTGGCACAGGAGATTACAGACATCAACACAAGAAACAAATATCATAATGTTATTGTGAAGCTGATATGGCCAAGGCCTATGATAGGGTTTCATGGAAATTTTTGGTGAGAGTAATGAGAAACTTTGGTTTTGCAGAAAGAATCATAGACATGATAGTGAGGCTCATTAGTAATAACTGGTACTCAGTATTGATCAATGGACAGTCGTTTGGTTTCTTTCAATCTACTAGAGGACTAAAGCAGGGAGGCCCCTTATTATCTACACTTTCCATTATTGCAGCAAATGTTTTGTCAAGGGGTTTAAAAAGTTTATTTGAAGATCCTGATTATATAGGATATGGGATGCCTAAATGGAGCCCAACAGTAAGTCATATATCATATGCAGATGATACCATCCTATTTTGCTTAGGACAAACTACATCTATGAGGAAAATGATCGACATTCTTAGAGGGTATGAAAAGGTGTCAGGGCAAATGATCAACTTGGACAAGAGCATGATATATTTACATGAGCAAGTGCCTAACAGAGTGTGTTATCTGGTAAAGAGGATAACAGGCATCAGGCAAGGATCTTTCCCATTCACATATTTGGGTTGTCCAATTTTTTATGGAAGAAAGAATAAAGGTCATTTTGAGAACTTGTTGAAGAAAGTTACAAACAGAATGAACACTTGGCAAAATAAGCTCATGTCTTTTGGATGAAGGTATATTCTAATTGCTCATGTTTTACAATCAATACCAGTCTATTTGATAGCTACTATGAACCCTCCTAAAAGCATAATAGACCAGTTGCATAAGTTATTTGCAAAGTTCTTTTGGAGTAATTCAACAGGAGCTAGGAATAAGCACTGGGTGGCATGGGATAAGATGTGTTAACCAAAAGTGGAGGGAGGACTAGGCTTAAGGTCATTACATGATGTCTCAAAAGCTTTTTTTGCAAAGCTTTGGTGGAACTTCAGAACTGATACATCATCTTTATGGGCATCATTCATGTGGAACAAGTATTGTAAGAAAATACATCCTACAGTGACTAGAGGGCAAGGTGCTTCTCATGTTTGGAGAAAAATGATCACAATCAGAGAAGAGGTAGAACATAACATCTGGTGGCAAATAAAAGCAGGCAACTCAAGCTTTTGGTTTGATAATTGGACTAAACAGGTAGCACTATGGTATGTGAAGGAGAACAATGTAGTGGAAGAGGAAATATAGGTCAAATATTTCACTCATCAAGGGGCTTGGGATAGGGATAAACTTCTTAATAAGATATTAGAAGAGATGACTGATTACATAATGGAGTCCATTAAGCCTCCATTGGAGGAATATATCAATGATGTAGCATGGTGGATGGGGAGTACTCAAGGCATTTTCACAGTTAAATCAGCTTGGGAACTAATGAAACATAAACAGGAAAGAAGGGAAGATTATCAACTGATATGGACTAGAGAGGTGCCTTTTAAGATGATTTTTTTCTTATGGAGACTCTGGAAAAGAAGAATTGCAACTGATGACAATCTGAAGAGTATGAAAATTCAGATAGTGTCTAGATGTTGGTGTTGTTCTGAAATAGAAGAGGAGACAGTGACACATGTTTTTCTAACAACCCCTATAGCCAATAGGCTATGGAGACAATTTTCTAATTTTGCAGGTATGCAAATGGAGAGCATGCACTTACAACAACTCATAATAAATTGGTGGAAGCATAGTTATAATGCCAAACTCGAGGTGGTGATGAGAGCAATGCCAACAATTATAATGTGGACACTATGGAAAAGGAGGAATAACTTGAAGCATGGAGGAACCACCACATACAATGAAATGGTGATGCAAGTGCAAAAAGAGGTGAGGAAACTCATAAAGTTGCAACATCCTTGGATTCATATAAAAAAGGAAACATGGCCTCAAATCATCACAAGGCTGAAGGAGTATAGACCTAAAATACATCACCATTATGTTCAATGGAAGAAACCTGGAAGAAACAAAGTTAAATGCAACACAGATGGGCAGCAAGAGGAAATTCAGGTGCTAGTTCTATAAGTTTTGTAGTGAGGGACGAGGAAGGAGACCTTATATATGCAAGGGCAAAAGGAATAAGAATAGCAACAAACATGGAAGCAGAGGTGTTTGCTCTGCTAGAAGCAGTTGGTATTGTCAAGAGAAGGATCTAAAAGAGCCCATAATCGAAACTGACTCTTTACTTCTAAAAAAAATGGTGGATAATCAGTGGAAGTTACCGTGGGAATTGGTAGAAAGAATAGAGGAGATTAGAAGGGTGATACGAAGTATAAATGCATCAATCACTCACATTTTCAGAGAAGGAAACTGCGTGGCAGATTCATTGGTCAATGAAGTAGTGGAGTCTCAAGAAACTAAGTGCTATTATCTATTTCAGGAGCTACCAAGCATAACAAGGAAGCATCTAAACATGGATAAATCGCAGATACCAAACATAAGGATGAAAACTCGCAAAATTAGCACACAATGATATAGTAGAGAAGCAACAACTAAGCAATCACCTCAACAACAGTCATAACAACAATTCAACATTTATGCGAGGAATCAGAAGGTATAGTAATTTTATAGTAGAATACTTCACACAGGTACAAAGTCAAAGTAGAATTAGATGTCCTAGCTAGTTTGGGTCATCAGAGAAGCTGGTCGGAGGTAATACTGGAAAAATCGTCAAGCAAGCGGCGTCATATCCGGACAGAAATGAAGAACATCTGCGGTCCCTTGAATTTCCAATAGCCACCTGAAAAGAAAAATGAATCAGCAGCTCAAAGATTGAAGAAGATAGAGGAGACAGTGAAGAGGCTTACCAAATATTGAAGAGACAGGTAAAGAGAGAAAGGGTTTGGAGATTTTTGGAAACTAGACAAAGAGCAGCTAATTGTAGATTTGGAATCTTGTCTCATTATTTTATTTGGATCGATCCATTTATGGATGAGGTAATTTTCCATTTTAGCTTTTTGTATAGAGTGAGCTTTGGCTATTATTTAATAAAATGAACTATGGATAAAAAATTTGATCAAAAAAAAAAGAAGCAATTTTTTTTACTTATGCGAAACAATGGGAGGCATGGGAAACGCTAGTTCTCGTATAGATAAGAGGTAAAACCTATATTTTTAATAATTGATTATGTGAACGAAAAATTACTATAAATCCCCTAAATTCAAATAAGATCTTTCTCCGCTCCGTCAAAAGCCTAATTGAGACAAATCAGCTCTTACTGTTCTCCGGTCTTTGCTCTTGAAGATTACAACTTAAATTTTTAATTAACCATAAATACATATACTTGTATTTAATTATAAATATAGTTTTAAAATTACGTAACAAATTAATTAATTTTCCAATTAAAGTTAATTATTTAGTTTCGAATTTTCTGTCCCCTCCTTATAGGATTACATGCCTAAATTTATGGATTTTTATTTAACTTTACACGTTTCGAGCATTTAATATAATATTTATTTTTATTTTATTTCTTATGTGATACAATCTATGTAAGGTAAAAAACTTTTACTTTTTCCAACATTACTCAATTTATACATTTCTTTCCTTTAATATAATATTTATTTTATTTTATTCCTTATGTGATATAATATAGGTAAGGTAAAAGTAAAAAGTTTTCTCTTTCCAACATTTATCTTCCCTAGTTAGTCACGCTTCCCTTCTATAATTCTTCCTTCTCTCTTCTTCATGTGTTTCCTCTGTTTCTCCATTGCTTCTATGTGGTCATTCTTGCACCATTGTAAATTTATTTCTGTTGTTCATCTTCGACTTCTTAGTTTATTATATTGTTTTCGATGGACATGACACCACGAAAAAGCCCAAGACTTGACAAATTAGTTGTATTGATTGACACCCCCCCCCAAATCACATGTTCTAGACCTTCATTTGAGTTGAACAGGTTCACTCAAACCTCCGGTCAAAAAAGACAGAATAGATGATAATAAAATAGGTAAAGAAAAAAATGAATTTATTGTCATCAATTCCTCATCAACCCGCAAGATTCAACACAAGTCTCATCCGATAGTCAGTCAAAGCAAGAAGGGTAAAGAAAAGACGAATGAAACTTCTATTTTTGAAAACTATCAACATGATAGTGGTTTTGAAGATGAAATCCCAATTGCCAAAAGATTAGACTAGGTACAGATTTATCGAAAAAATTGTGTAAAAAGATACTTTTTTAACTCTGATTTTGATTTTATTAATATATATATATATATATATATATGACATGCAATTTTAAATGTACGGTTTTTGTTAGAAGAATTCTGATGGAGTTGCAGGTAGGAATGTTGCAAACCCAAAAGGGGCAACTTGGTTAATAAAAAAAAAGCCATAAATCCACACAACCTCTAAAGGTAAGTGTTTTTCGGTTATTATGGAATTTTTTTTACTTAATTTAAAATCTATGTTTTTAGTTTTATATTATGAGTTGCATTTTTTTTAAAATGATAAATTTTTACTTTGTTTATTTACTGTACAGTTTTATATTATTAGTTGCATTTTTTTGTTTGAAAATGATAAATTTTTTCTTTTTTATTTACTGTCATTAGAATTTTGTTTTGCTTTATATTTTTGATTTACATTATTTGTCAATAATATCTTGTTAATGTTTTATTTTATGTTTCTTAAATAAAGAAGAAACAATCATGTTGGTGTTCATATGTTAACATCAACGTATTTGATGATATAAAGAGCCGGTTTTTCAAAATTAATTGTCTACATTTGTTCAAAGACTTGATTTTTGGATATCTTTTGGAGTTACCACAATTGAAAGTGCAACCGTAGATTATTAGGAGCTTGGTGCATCATAAGTGGACTTATGATCGCGATGATAGATTTATGTTTAATTTGAATGGAGTTGAACTTGAGTTTGGAATTAAGAAATTTAGGACAGTGACGACATTTAAATGTGGTTGGTCGATGGTTTTTAATCATGATCCTAAGAGCACATCAAAGCTCATGAGTAGGTACTTCCGAATGATATTGATAAAGTGTTGAAAGCTAATTTTTTAAGGGTATTTAGTAAAGAAGGGTTGATTAGGTCGGAGGACATGTTTAATATGAAAATGATTTATTTCATCAGTACATTTATTTTGTCATCTCCACCAAACATTTCTCATATTTCAAAAGATCACTTTTTTTGTGTTGAGTCTCGACAGTATAGTACATACCCTTGGGGTAATCTGACATTTTTTCAATTAAGGGATTCAATAACGATTTAAATGGCTAAGGATCCTCGTTATGTGAAGTTTTTTGAATTCTCACTTGCGATGCAAATTTGGTTTTACGAATGTTGCAACAAAGTTGATGAATCAATCTTCATTCGTACATGCCATGTTACTCCCTGCATATTCAATTGGGACATTTCAAAAAATAAGATTTATTTTGAGCATCTAAAGAAAGGCATGTTAAGAAAATATGGCAATCATGTAATATAAATTTGTCAGTTTTAATTACTTAAGTTATTGTTTCTATGTTTGTAATTATACTTACATTTATTATTGTCATTGTAGTTTATATTTCAAGATGTTGTGTTGATGGATGATGAACAAGATGTTATTGAGATGGAAAATCTGAATGATTCATCATTCAACAAGTTGAGAAAACCTGGAAACATAAGGCAATCTCACAGTCACACAAGGAAGAATGAAAAAGAACTGCCTTATAATCCTTCACATGTTGGTGTTGATTCAGCGTAGTTGCTCAACTTATTGAAATCCACATTGGAGGAGTACCAATAGTAATAAAATTTAAAATATATCAAGGAGATGAAAATATAATTTTCTTATTTCTTTACTTTCTTCTATGCTATATGTTCCTTTATAATAGTATTCTCTAAATGCACACGTATATTCATCTATGTAACACATATTACATATTGCTAATTTTGTCATTAGATTTCGATTTATGGATAAAATCTCTTAAAAATAAAGCTTCGACAAATGAGGATTTAGATGCCTCAAATGTTAGTTTAATATTGTTTATGTTTTTGTATATATATATAAATTATTTAGTGTTATAGAACATTGAATATATTTTATTTATATGTTTTGTTTACAATATGATGTTACTGTATATATCAAATATGTGGAGTGGACCTTGAAAATTAAAATAGGTACACACGTTGGTTAGTATAATGGGAACTTGTAGTAACTGAGTAAAACACAATTTGAAGCAAAATAAAAAATAAAAACAAAACTTTATTTTGAAATGATGGGAGTATGTAATGTAAGAAAAAAAGTAGAAAAAAGTTCAAAGAAGTTCTTTATTATCTATGAAATGACCAAAATTACTATAACATTTTGATTATCCAAATGTCACCTTCATGTATGTAAAAATATAATTAGCTAGATTGTAATAACCTGCTAGATCGTTTTGAGCACTAGAAGTATTTTAACCTTTCTCAAAAATTTCAATTAGAATTTTGAATTTATCATTTAACTACGATTATTTAATTAGCAGGTATTTTTTAATAATTAATTTTATTAGGTGGTCAGTGGGCTAAGTCCATAATTTATGTAAGACCTTATACCATTTAACCAATATTTTATTAAAATAAGTTAGTGAAATTTGGGTACATAATTATTTTTAGAAAAGAAAAAAAAGCAATACTGTCAAGCCCCGAGCCTACATCTTGGACGCGACTGGCACTCGAGAATCGTTGCTGGCCCCAAGCGAATCCTTGGCCTGACTTAACTCTTAGCGGAAGAATTACGCATAAATAAGATGAAGTTAAAAGATAAACTTTACTCAATTGTCTCAAAAGATAAATCAGAATGTTTTAGAAATAAACATTCAACTAGCCAAAAAGGCAACTCAAGTCTTAGCACAAACAACTGAAAATAAAAAGACTCATGAACTACTGTCTATCTATCTATAAAGCCTCTAATACTTTGAGGAATGTCGGGACAAGACCCCCGATCATCCTAATAACAAAACTGAAATGATAAAACAAAGTGGGGGATCCTCCTGAAGCAAGGAGGCTCACCAAATAACTCTGAAACTCAACTGGATCAATGAAATGCTGGTTGTTGATCTTGGCTATCTGTAGTTGCATCATAAAAGATGCAGGCTAAATGGCGTCAGTACATGGAATGTACGAGCATGCGAGGGGAAATCTAAAATAAGACATAAGATTGAACTAGAACTGAAGAAACAACTTACCTTGTCTCAACTTAACTCAGGGATACTCAACTCATTTCAATATAAAGCAGTAGAAAAATGCATTATAAAGAAAAGCTTTTAAGACAATAGACAATAAATCAATGTATTAGAAAAATACAATATTACTCAGTTTATATGCAAGAATACAAAATAAACTCTATGGGAGATTTCCTAACCGACAACCATCACTATGAGCTATGCGATGATACATTGTCTAGCCCACGCTGCCAAAACTGTCCTATACTTTGCCAATGTATAGGACCTACTACTAAGTGGATCCACTAGTCTATGCTTAAAAGCAATAAGGAATCATCGAAAAAGTATGACCCTTTCTACCCACGTTGGCTACATGGTTTACGAGGACTTTGAGTTATCTGAACTCGTCTCCATATCGGTGCTCAATACTACCCCCAAAATATAACTATCTCATATGTTTAAAAACATATCTCTTTCTTTGGTTTGAGATTATTACTCAAAATATTTCTATTAAAAGAGATGGTACTCAAAACTGTTTAAGAAACTCTTTTGAAAATCGGTGTTTCCTCTCATCTTAAATGTGAAAACATTTGCTATTGGAAAAACTTAGTTCACATATATCATTTTAAAGAAAATGAACTCAACTCTACTCTTCCTCAAACTCAACTGCTCAAGTCTTAAAAAAAAGTTTAAAATGATTGTAAAAGATTTATTCAAATGACTCGGAAGAACTCTCAAGACTTAACTTTTAACTGTACCTTGAATTTGAATTATGGATTCAAGGTTATGATTCATTTTATGAATGATCTCTTGGTATATATATGTAATAAGAATGTAGATATCAAGTAGGAAACATAGGTACGATTCAAGGGAACTTGTATGAAAAGAAGGACAAAATGGTAGGGGACCTGGCGATCCTAGTGCATTGAGTGGCGCGGGGCGCCAGCCCCTGAACTACTGAAGGGGAATTGGGGCGCACTGAGTGGTGCGGCGCCCTATGACCTAAACTACAGATGCCTCTTTGTGGCGCACTACTTGCGCGGTGCGCCAGCCCCTTCCCAGAACTTCCCGACGAATTTTCTTTCTCATTTTCTAACCCCAATTCGCCTAGAATCGAATGGTTTTCTTCCCAACTCACTTAGATTCGAATACCCAACATTTGTATGCGATAATCTACTAAAAAATACCATCAAAACACTAACACTTATCTCAAGAACTCATCAAAACCCCAATCCATAAAATTATTAATGAAATTCAAGAAAAACTCTTCAAGAACACAAACCCTTCAACTTCAAGAATGAATTTGCATTTAAAATAGCATGATTGGCGTGTGGGTGAATGAACCCAACACTATGAGAACTCACATACATCTTAGGGATTAAACCCTTGGGGAAACAACCTTCGATTCGCAAGAAAACTTGATGAACGATTGGACTTTTCTCCTTTTCTCCTCTTCTTGAACTCTTCCCAAACCCCTAAGCGTATATGGGATTTGTAAAACTGATCCAAATCAGATTTGACCCCAAAATAATATCAAAAATCGTTTTAATTTGATTGGGTAAGGAAAAAACCAAAATACCCCTCACTAATTCAGGTAACTTTCCTTAATTGGACAGACTAACTTTAAATGGGCATATCTCCCTGATACGAGCTCTAAATATAGCAAATCGGTAGCGTTTGAAAGAGGATTCCAAGACGTTTCATTTGATATCTTATGGGCTACCAAACTCATTCTGTACAAAAAGTTTTGGTCGTACGGAGTTGACCCAAAACTCACAACTTAGGCATAACTTAAAAAATTTAAGATTTTGCTATTTCTAATTTAGTTCTTTCTATTTTTAGCTCTTTAAAATTCCGAGGTGTTACAATATCTCTCCCTTGGGAACATTCGTCCTCGAATGAGATTACTCTAAGTAGACTAAGGGTGGTAACATCTAGCACCCAACTCAAACACTCAATATGAAAAGTAACACAACATTTAAACTAAAATAAATGCCAAGAAAAAGGATTAGTACCTTAATTTGGAATTTCTCCGGACTCAAAGAGATGCTATCTCTTCTTCTTATCCTCCTCAACCTCCCAAGTAGCTTCCTCAACAAACTAATTCCTCCATATGACCTTGACTGATGCTACCTCCTTGGTTCTCAACTTGCGAACCTGACGATCAAGTATCTCAACGAGTACCTCCTCATAAGATAGGTTGTCCTTAATACCAATATTTCCAGTCGGTATAATGAGTGAAGGATCACTCATACTCTTCTTCAACATTGAAATGTGAAACACCGGATGGACTGCTGCTAACTTTGACGGTAGCTCCAACTCGTAAGCTACATTGCCAATCTTCTTGGATATCCTGTAAGGACCAATATATCGGGGACTAAGGTTCCCTTTCTTGCCAAACCTCATAACACCCTTCATGGGTGAAACCTTCAAATAAACCCAATCATCCACCTCAAACTCTAAGTCTCTTCTCTTAATATCAGTGTAGAATTTCTGATGACTCTCCGCTATTTTCAACCTATTTGATCACCTATTCCTGATATATTAAAAATTGAGAACGACATCATCATATTCATAACATGATTTGCCAAATCTAAAACAAATACCCACCAAAAACAGTAGCAACAATTATTAAGCCATGATTGACCCTACTAGTCCTTGTCCCCTAGTTTTATAAGGACCAAACATCCTATATTAATATAATATTTAATACTAAGAAGGTTTTCCTTCTAGAATATTAGCAATAAAGACATATGATACTCGAGTTCTTACCTGAACGCAGGAACATCGATGCGACCTTTTAAGCTTCCCTTTTCCTTTTGTGTTTTCTGACTTCTTTTCTTTTCTTAAATTATGACCCAAAAATTCTCAATCCTAATAATTTATTTTTCTAAATGGGTCAAGTGGTATATGCTATTAAACCAATTATAAACTTAACCCATTAAGCATTAACTAAAATTAGTTATTTAATAATTAACCGTCAATTAATTAACTCTAGTTAAGCTAATAGTTCAAAAATCTCTATATAAAATTTACGGGAAAGGTCTTTTATAAAAGAGAGAGGAATAGTTCTCAAAATGACCTAACGGGTCATTACATTATCCACCACTAAAAATCATGTTCGTCCTCGAACATAAGGAAGAGGAAAGAAGAATAACCAACACGACCAAAAGCCTGAGGTATGAATTTCAAAGTCGTGTTCATCTCTCCAAGTGATCAACTCATTTTTAGGACCATTTCATCAAAGATCAACTACCAAGAGCTGAATTTTTAAATCAAACTTTGGAAGATCTATATATCAAGAGTGATTATCAAGCAACAAACTAATCCATGAATCCAATTCAAACCGAAGCACTCTCGACCATAACACAATCATCAAGACAAATCTTTTCTTACGTTACTACAAGAAATTTGAACCAATATCGGCTTCAACCAGAAGTGAGCCAGAATCAACCAACAGATACTCATAATGCACAAATCATCACAGATCTTATCAAGATTCCTTCTCACAGCACAATCTTTACATGAACTTAAGTTATAAAAATCTGATCTTTAGACA